TTACCACTAAATCACAAAACAACCATCATTCAGAACCACCTGAAATCTGGCTGAATGGAAGTCCTACAACTAGGGGATTAAAGAAGAAGCCACAGCAAGACTGGTATGAGGGGCAGATACATGGAACAATCTGGTCCCACACCCATGTGTGGCAGATAAAAATCGGGAGGGCTATCTCAGCTGCAGAGGTCCCCCCTGAGGAGCAAGAGGGTTCCAGCCCACACCAGACCCCTAGCTCAGGGTTCCAGAGCCAGGAAGAGAAGTCCCGGTAGCTTCTGGCTGTAAAAACCAGCAGAGATTGAGGCTGAGGGAGACACAGGACTTCTGGAGTCCCAGACAGTTCCTCTTAAAGGGCCCATGCACAATTTTACTTGTACTCACTCCCTCTGAGCTCCGGCATGAGGACAGCAGCTTGAAAGGCACCAGAGATGTATAGGGAGGAACTAAATTGTCCAGTATCGAGGCAAAAGCTGGGGGACAGCTTTCTTCCAGAGAGAAGTGCTGGCAGAGGCCATTATTCCTTTGATGGGCTCTCACCAAAAGAGCCAGCAGGTAGGCACCATATCTGGGACTCCATCAACCTGGCTCATACTGTTTGCGTCACCCTGATGATTCCCCAAGGCTCCGCCTCACCCAACTTTCAGGCCCAGTCAAATTGTTTCCAGTGTCTTTTCCATATGAATGGCCTCTCTCTGCTCACGCTTCAGATTTTCCTAAAATCTCTCAAACAAGCAGGATCTGGCCTCAGTGTGCCCCGTACCTCTCACTAAGTGGCCCCAGGCCTGGCACTAGTGGCAGCCACCTTGGTTCGAAGCTTGACCTCTTTTGAGTACCTCCAAGCCGAGCACAAGTAGCAACCATCTGCAGATTGCTTTGTAGCTCATGCTGAGTAGCCCTGGGTAGAACACAGGCAGTGGCTGACCCTGGCCTTCACCTCCCGGCAGGCCCTAGAGCCAGCACACCCAGTGCACAGCTTCAGACCCTGTCAAAGCACCACCCAACTATTTCCACAAGTGACACACTCAAGAGACAGACTCAGCAGGCACCAGATCCCTGCTGAAGTAAGTTCTGCTCTGTGGGGTGGGCCCTGCACAGCTGATCCTCCATGGTGGTCAGAGATCAGCGATCTGTGGTCACAGCCAGTCCTTGCAGCTGACCTGCCTGGAGGTGAATCCCTCCCACTGAAGTGCCAACAAGAATCAAGAATCAACTACAAGGGGAGGGTGTACATAGCCCACACAGGAGGTGCACCTCGAGGGCCCAGTTTGGGTGATCGAAGAGGCTGTGTCACTGGACCCTCCAGAACACCCACTATATTAGACCACTCTACCAAGCCTGGGAGACATAGCAGTTCTACCTAATACATAGAAACAAACACAGGGAGGCAGCCAGTATGAGGAGACAAAGAAACATGCCCCAAATGAAAGAATAGAACAAAACTCCAGAAAAAGAACTAAACAAAATGAAAACAAGCAATCTACTAGATGCAGAGTTCAAAACACTGGTTAAAAAGATGCTCAATGAACTTAGTGAAACTTCAAAAAGGACAAGTCAGAAATGAAGGATATTCTAACTGAAATAAAGAATAATTTACAGAAAACTAATAGTAGAGTAGATGAAGCTGAGAATCAAATCAGCAATTTGGAATATAAGGAAACAAAAAACACCCAATTAGAACAAGAAAAAGAAAAAAGAATCCAAAAAAGTTAAAGATAGTGTAAGAAGCCTCTGGGACAATTTCATGTGTGCCAACATTCGCATCATAGGGGTACTGGAAGAAGAGAGAGAGTAAGAAATTGAAAATCTATTTGAAAAAATAATAATGAAAACTTTCCTAACTTGGTGACAGAAACAGACATACAAGTCCAGGAAGCACAGAGTGTCCCAAACAAGATGAACCCAAAAAGGCCCACACCAAGACACATATAATTAAAATGCCAGAGGTTAAAGACAAAGAGATAATCTTCAAAACAATAAGAGAAAAGCAGTTAGTTACCTACAAGGGTGCTCCCATAAGACTGTCAGCTGATTTCTCAAAAGAAATATTTCAGGCCTGAAGGGAGTGGCAAGAAATATTCAAAGTGATGAAAAGCAAGGATCTACAACCAAGATTACTCTACCCAGCAAAGCTATCATTTAGAATCAAAGGACATATAAAGAGCTTCCCAGAAAAGAAAAAGCTAAAGGAGTTCATCACCACCAAACCAGTATTACATGAAATGTTAAAAGGACTTCTTGAAGAAGAAGAAGGAGGAGGAGGATGAGGAGGAGGAGAAAAATATGAACAATAAAATGGCAACAAATATATATCAACAATTGAATCTTAAAAATAAATAAATAAACAGGCAGAACAGAAACAGACTCATAGATACAGAGAAGATTTTGATGGTCACCAGATGGGAAGGAGTTTGGGGGAATGGGTGAAAAATTGAAGAAATTTAGAAGTATAAATTGGTTGTTACAGAATAGTCATGAGGATATAAACTACGGCATAGAAAATACAGTCAATAATATTCTAATAACTGTGTATGGTATCAGATGATGCAAGATTTATCAGGATGATAACTTAGTAACTTATGTAATGTCTAATCACTGGGCTATACACCTGAAACGAATATAATAATGTATGTCAACTGTCATTGAAAAATTTAAAAAGTAGCCCGGCCGGTGTGCCTCAGTGGTTGAGCATCAACCCATGCACCAAGAGGTCGCTGGTTTGATTTCTGTTCAGGGCACATGCCCAGGTTGTGGGCCAGATCCCAGATCCCCAGTGGGGGGCATGCAGAAGGTGGCTAATCGATGTTCTCTCTTATCGATGTTTCTCTCTCTCTCTCTCTCTCTCTCTCCCTTCCTCTCTCTCTAAAATCAATAAAGAAAAAAACAATTTTTTTAAAAAGAATTTTTTAAAAATAATTAGAAAAAAAGAAGTTAGACCATTTACATTTCAATGAGGTCTGGAGAAATCAAATGTTTTATATATATATATATTTGGGGGGGTGTACATGCCCCTAGAGGGAAACGAACCTGGGACTCTCTGGTCCACAGGCTGATCCCAGAGCCAAATCAGCCAGGGCTATTTATATATATATATATATATATATATATATATATATATATATATATAAATAAATATCCTCACCTGAGGACATTTTTGCATTTATCTTCAGATAGAGCGGGAGGAAGAGAGGGAGGAAGAGAGAGAGAGAAACATCAATGTGAGAGAGACATATTGACTGGCTGCCACCCACATGACCCCAACCGGGGCCAGGGACAAACTGCAACGGAGGCACGTGCCCTCAGCAGAAACTGAACCCGGGACTCTCTGGTCCACAGGCCGCCAGTCCAACCGCTGAGCCAAACTGGCCAGGGCAATAATTTTTTATATTTTTAAGTCCATATTCTATTGTTTATTTTTGCCACCTTTGTCCATTTCCTAGTAGTGATTATCTTTAAAATAACAAGAGTTTGGCCCTGGCCAGTTTGGCTCAGCGGTTAGAGCATCGGCCCGCCAAGCAGAGAATCCCGGGTTCAGTTTCCGCTAAGGGCATGTACCTCGGTTGCAGTTTGTCCCTAGCTCCAGTTGGGGTCATGTGGGTGGCAACCAATCGATGTGTCTCTCACATCAATGTTTCTCTCTCTCTTTCTTCCCCCCTCTATCCCTCCCGCTCTGAAGATAAATGCAAAAATATCCTCGGATGAGGGAAAAATAAAATAACAAGAGTCTGTGGATAAATGGACAAATCTTGTCATGTTCACAGATTTTCTTAGAATGAAAGCAACTTTAAGATCTTAGGCAAGTGGTGACAGATAAAGAGAAAAATTGTGACCTGGCCAAACCCCTGGGACACTGGGGAGAAAGACGGGGCTTCGTGGGAAGACAACCCTGAGAGCAGGAGCAGAACCCCCTTGTTTTATGGACAGACACTACCCCACCCGCCACTCCTGACAGCAGGTCGTCTCCTGAGGAAGGCAGAGGAGAGGCTTTGCAAGGTAAACGAGAATAAGAGTAAGAGAGATAATGGAACTGTGGTTTCAGAAGATGAATAGGAAGGCCACTAGAGAGGAATGAAGAAGGCGTGAGGCCCGGGAAAGAATTGCTGGGAAGAGCCATTATTCTCTGGCTGCCACTCACCACCGAGCCACCAAGTCATTTAGCTTTGCAGCTCCTGCTTCCCCAGGAGTAATGCTTTCACCTGCTGACCTCCTGGGACGTCACCGCCTTTGTCACCGCTGAAGGATGCTATCTAAACGGAGAGCCCATTAGCCACTAGAGAAGTGTGCTATTGTAAAAGGCCGGGAGGGGTGTGGAAATTGACAAGGAAGAAAAATGGGTGGAAAAGCTAGGCTTCAGCAAATTCCTGGCTCTCAGAGCCTCTCTGCTGCATTGAGAACCCTGCTCTTAGGTGTACGGTCACTCGAATGTTTGTTCTGGGAGTGCCATCATTTATTTTACTAGAATCGGACTTCTCAATCCAGATGGGAGTGTTATAGCTGCTTTGGCACCATCGACTCGCCATGTGATGGTGATTCAATTCTCAGTCTCTAACTTCTGCGTGTGATGATACCTGACGTTCTCAACATTCCTTCTGGTGGTCCCCAGAAGATCTGTTACCCAAGAGAACGTATCACACAGCACAAGCTTGAGTTTAAATTTCCAGGCAAACAATGAAATGTTTCACTCACCGGAGGCCAGGGAAGCTAGACATAGAACGTCATTCAAGCCCCAGACTGCGAAGGGTGGGGGTAGAGGGTGTGGGGTTGCAAGGAATGTGAGCCCATGACCACGAGCAGGAATTAGTCAATGTTCAAGCCCCGCAGCTGTATTTTCATAGCCCACAAAGTTCAGTGAGAAAGGAGGAGGGATCTAGTCAGCCTTGGCCATCCCCCCTCAAGTGGTCCCTCAGGCCCTCAAATGCTACGCAGACTATGGTTGTGAATTCCCACGCTCCCTGCTTAGTAGCGTGACGGCTCCATGGTTTTCACACAGTCCCCGCACCTACCTCTGAGTTCTCTCTCCTAGGTAGCCGACGAAGTACTTTTGCCTCACAAGCAGGTACATCAGCCCAGCAAAGGCAGCAGGAACTAAGTGAAGAAAGAAAAACACCTTAGATTCGTAGATGCCCAAACAGGCTAAGTTAACACGACATTAATACAGACACTGTGCAGTGACTAGCCTAGGCCTCCGGGTCTGCCAGTGCAGGCGGACGTGAACTTCCGTCAACAGCCCGGGGCTGGGAGAAATCTGAGAATGTTAATAATAGTGATGCTACAGATGGCCAGTAGACATATAAAAAGATGCCTGACATCACTAATCATCAGAGAAATGCAAATGAAAACCACAATGAGATAGCTCCTCAAATCTGGCAGAAAGGCTATCATTACTAACTCAACAGGCAATGTGTTGACGAGGGTGGGAAGGAAAGGGAGCCTCGTGTACTGTTGGTGGGACTGCAGACAGGTGCAGCCACTGTGGGGAGCAGCATGAAGGTTCCTCCCAAAACTAAAAATAGAACTGCCCTGTGACCCAGCAATCCCACTTCCGGATATATACCCAAAGTAATCCATAACACTAATTTGAAAAGATATATGCACCCCTATGTTCACTGCAGCATTATTTACAATAGTCAAGACACAGACGCAACCTAAGTGTCCGTCACCAGACGAATGGATAAAGAAGTGGTGAATATATACAATGGAATATGCCTCAGCCACACACACACACACACGCACGCACGCAAAAAAATGAAAACTTACTCTTTATGACAACATGGATGAATTTAGAGGACATCAGGCTAAGCAAAATAAGTCAGACAGAGAAAGGCAAATACCATATGATTTCATTTATATGTTGAATCTAAAGAACAAAATAAACGAATAAACAAAATCGACACAGACTCCTAGCCACAGAACAGACTGGTGGCTGGTAGAGGGGGGAGGGCCTGGGAGCCGAGTCACTGGCAGTCAGATAGCTGCAGTTGTACATGGTCCGACCCAACATGCCAAGCACTGTCAGGGGCTGGATGCGCATGGTCACACACTCATCCCGGGAACACGATCATTCCTGTTTCACAAACTAGGAAACTGAGGCTTAGGAAAGCTGAGTAACAGCCGGGGTCCCAACAGCAGCAAAGTGTGTCCTCAGAGTCCTCCCCAGCTCATCAGTCCCCAAGACCCACGCTCTTTCCACAGCTCTGCCTTGCGTCCCAAAATACTATTGTCATATGATAGATGAAAAAAAGACAAAGCACAGCCGGGCCGGTGTGGCTCAGTAGTTGAGCATCAACCTATGCACCAAGAGGTCGCCGGTTTGATTCCCGGTCAGGGCACATGCCCAGGTTGTGGGCCATATCCCCAGTTAGGGGCATGCAGGAGGCGGCCAATCAATGTTCTCGCTCATCGATGTCTCTCTCTCTCCCTCTACCTTCCTCTCTCTCTGAAGTCAATAAAGAAAAATTATTTAAAAAGAAAACCAAAGCACACAGGAACTGTTTGTGAAGTTCACCCTATTCTCTGACTGTCACAAAACTGCCACAATTCACAATTTGCTCTAGACAAAGTCTTTCCTGGTTTGTCCCATCTGGACGGCTCTGTGCCAACTTACCAGCCCATCTCTTTACCAGAAACTACAGTGAACAATTACGGGGGTGAGGGTGGGAATGGCCGCACTTGCTGCCCGCGTGCCGGGAACCGTGTGCGCCTCTGGGACCTGGGCTGCCGGGAACAGCAGGAGGGGCTCAGCTGTGCGCATCTGGGCTCTACAGTTCTAAAGTTAGAGCAAGCCACCGTCCCCTTGGGGCTTGGCTCCTTCTCTGTAAAGTAAAGGATTCGGGCTCGAATGATCCCCGGGGTTTCTTTCAGCTAAGAAATTCCACCATCTCTATATTGATACAATGTGCAATTATCAAACAGGGTTTAACTGACACTTTTGTCCCCTGGCACTGCCAAGGTGTGTTTCAACAGGAAATGCGCAGTCCCGGGCGCTGCCACACACTGTACTTGTCTAGCTGACCCAACTCTAGATTCGTTTACATCAAATATCATGGAAAACATAAAAGGAATCGTAACTCCTAGTAGTAGTATATTTTGACCTAATTTTTCAAGTCTTGCTGGACATGTTCCTTATTGAACTCAGGATAGAACGTGGAAAATAAATAGTGGGCTTAGTGACAGCCTCTTGGGACACGGGGAAAAGGCCACAAGGTGTCCCTGAAGTGGGTTCTCTGCCATCCTTCACCTCTCCTTATCACTGCCCTTGTTCTGTGCCTTCTCGGCACCTCTCCCTCTTGGCAATAATGTATCCATTCACTGGTTTCCTGAGGTTCATCTTGCCCTCTGCTGTGGGCTCCCCACCTCTCTTTATTGGTTACTATGTCACAGAACAGGTGTTCTATGTGTGTGCACTATATCAATGAAAAAGTAAAAGGTACTTGTGAAAATCCAGGAGGTAGCCCCAAAGACGTGGGCTCTCAATCTGCTTTGTTACTCACCTGCTGACTAGCCTTGCGCTTAGCTGTCTCAACCCAAGTGACCTCAAAGACGAGAGGAGAAAGAATATCCACTCTGCCAACTTTATGAAGTGGGAGGAGGTGACTGGGGATTAAATAGTTCAACAGAGAACACTAATGGCCTTTTCTGGTACACACTGCTGGGCCACAGTGGGACACTGGCTGGGTCATGCCACCCCTCCACCGACACCGTGCCAGTCTCCAAAGGGGACCAAAAAATATTCGTCTGGTTTCCATTTAATTTTAAGTCCACTCTGGGAGTCACCTTGCTGAAGTCAGGACGGGGGGCTGCTGATAACTGGGGAAGGCTGGGGACCTGCAATCCAGCCGCCACTGCAGACACGCCGAGGGAGGACGGCCAGACGGGCAGCTCGTTAGCAGGAGGGCCCAGGGCACCGGTCCTGGAACAGGTCCCTCTGGCTCTCATTTGCAATGCCCTTGCATCTGAGCGAACTCTGTTGAAGGCTTCTGAGTCACATTTAGCCTTAAAACACCCCTGTCAGTCCAGCCGCTCTCCACCCGCCCCCAGGGAGCCAGCATTAGCAATGCACCAGTCCACAGGCTCCCGGGGCCTCGCCTCGCCAGGGCTTCACAGAAGGAGCTGGAGGTCAGCCAAAGCCTTTTCAAAGAAGAGCCCGAACTGGAGCCTCCTCAAGCTCATTTCAGCAAGAGAACAGAGAGAAGCGGCGTTACCTTGGCTGCACAGTAGCCCCGCACTCCAGAGCACGACAAGGAAAGTGGGGTACGCGTCGACACAGTTCTGGCTGTAGAATAAATAAAAAGAAGAGAAATCAGCAAACATGTGTCCACAGTATCATCTGAAAACTACCCGAAACCCTCAGTGAACAAGCACCGTCAAACCTGAGGCACAAACCCCACTCATACGCGCACAGACGGGCACCAGCCGCCACGTCGGAGACGGACAGCGGGGTAAAGCGACACGCGTTCAGAACCCATTCACTCTCTTCCTCAGTAGGCAACTGGTTTCTTGATGGATTTGCTTTGGCAGAGTTCCTGCTGAGAAGGTTGGAAACGTTTTAAAGGGTAAAGGTAAAAGTTCGCAAAAGGTGGAAACTGTGAAAAAATTGTGTTGCTTGCATGACTTCTGCTCAGCCTTCTGCTGAGTATGGATAAGGATTATCCGCAAGGCAGTGGATCACCCAGCAGTCGCCGGACGAGATACCAGACCTGTCCTACTGCAAGGTGGACAATGGGCCAGGCAGAGCGCATCAGCAGGAACTGCCAGAAGCTAAAAGTAGAGTACATAACCTACGCCCCAACTGTTACTGGGCTCAGCCCGCCTGCCCCAGGCACATGCAATAAAGTCATTTTGCTCTCCACTGGCCTTGCGTTGTGGATGTGCTCTCCTGCCGGCTCAGACCTTTTACCTGCTCTGGGCTTTGCCAAAGTGCTTCTGGAATTGACAAGTGAGCGATGCAGCGGCGGCCTCAGGGAGGGCGGCGGGGAGAAGAGCCCAGCTAAGGAGGCCTTGGCGGCAGACACACAGCTCATGCTCGCAGGCCAGGAGGGGGAGGAAAGGCGAGGTCATGCATTGAGGAAACCAGGGTGGGTTCGGAAAAGCCGATGTTCAGAACAACCGATGTTTAGAAAGTTATCTTGCTGATTGTGTGATTGCTGTGGGCAGGCTCGGGCCTCACTGCGACTCTGTGAGGACACAGGGTGACTGCGTGGGTTTTCGATGGCAGCTGTCACGCGTAGCCACACACTCACTGCCTTAAAACAAGTCCAATGTATTATCTGGAAGTCACAAGTCCAAAATGGGTCTCACTGGGCTAAAATCCAGGTGTCAGCACTTCTGCCTTCCTTGCAGAGGATCTAGGGCAGAATGCGCTTCCTTGCCTTTCCAGCTTCTGCACATCTCCTGTGTTCCTGGTTGGTGGCTCCTGCCAACCTCAAAGCCAGCAATGGCCGATCAAGTCTTTTCACACTGAATTGCTCCATCACCGACTCTTGCCTCCTTCCTCCACAATTAAAGGGCCCTTTCCATTACATCGGGTCTTACCCAGAGAATCCAGGACAATCTCTTTATCTTAAAGTCAACTGGTTACTCACCTTAGTTTCTCTTGCTGTGTAATGTAACATATTCCTGGGTGCCCGGGGTTAGGGCTGTGATCTGAAGGGGGCCACGATTCTGCCACAACTACCCTCATAGTTCAGATGAGAAACTGAGGCTGGGAGAAGCTGAATGGTTTCCCAGGCCACCCAGCTATGCAGTGGTATGGCTGGTCAGTCTGACTGAACCGGCTCTGTCACCTCTCCCACGACAAGAAGGTAAATAGCGAGTGCCCTCTTGAGGTTACAGTCTCGATCAGGGCAACCGATACATGCCCACATCCGTGGAAAAACAACCCGAAACAAGGAGGCACGGCATGGGGAGGGGCAGCACGATAGAGTGGAAGGTATGGGACGAGGATTGAGTCCCTGACCGCGTACTGGCCAGCAGCAATCTCTCTAAACTTAGGCTCCTTACCTGTACAACTGAGGCGGATCATGAATAACTCTGACATCCATTTAAGCTCTGAGAGTTGGTGGTCTAACTGGTGGTTCTCAGGGAGTGGTCCGGGACCACCAGAATCCCCCCAGGGGAACTCGTTAGAAATGCAGATGTTAATGCCCACCTCAGACCTTCAGAATCAAAAAGTCTGGGTCAGGCCCAGGAATCTATGTTTTAAAAGCCCTCCGAGTGATCCTGACGCATGCTCAAGTCAGGGAACCATTGGTCTCACATAATTCAAAGTGCAGGTAAAACCCAGGAGGCAATTTTCAAAATATATTTAGCCTTTTATCTAAATTCTTTCCTTGGTTTCCTTCATCTAGATCCCTCTTGATTCAGTTCTCACTCAATCAGCGGTGAACACCTGTTCAAACTAATAGGGCCTTGGGCCTCAAGGGGACCACAGAGAACTCTGCAATTACCAGCCCTGGGCCCCCCCTGCAGAGAACCCAGGCAGGCTGGCAGTGTTCCTGGCCACTGGGCCCTTCCTGTCCCTCTGATGATCAAAACAGCCTTTACTGGAGGAGTCAATGACTGTGAGAGCTAAGAAACCAGTGTGTCCTGTGCTGAGATACAAACACGGGAGAGAGCAGAGCCCCTCTGACTTCGGTCACTTACCTAGTGAACAGGGCAGGAGCCCGTTACAAATGCCACCTGGGCCCTGGCCAGTGGCTAAGAGGTTAGAGCATAGGCCTGAGAACCAAAGAGTCTTAGGTTCAATTCTGGTCAAGGGCATGTACCTCGGTTGTACTTCAATCCCTGGCCCTGGTCAGGGTTGTGTGGGATGCAACCAATTAATGTGTCTCTCACACTGATGTTTCTCTCTCTCCCTCTCCCTCTCCCTCTCCTGTCCACTCGATCTGAAAATCATTGGAAAAATATCCTCGGGTCAGGATTAAAAAAACAAATACCACCTGGAATGAAGTACATGGTGAATAAACAGGACCCAGAATGGACTACTCTCCATCTGTATATTAAAAATGGGTAAACCTTAAGTATTTATTCTTTTAGATAACAAGGTTAAAGACATGTTTCTTCTTCTTGCACCCCCAGGACTCACCTTGCAGCCTTCTTTGGAGGCCCCTGGAGAAGCCGTTGCTGGGGTTGGCTCTCTACTGGGCTAACACATCACCCCATCCCTATAGCTTTCAGAGGCAAGCAGACTGGGGGCTGTGGCTTTTGCCAACATGCGTGTCCTGCTGCGTTGGTCCCCAGGGCCTTCCAGGACCCACCACAGCACACACCAGCTGTCAGCCAGTCAGGGAGGAAGTGTCTTTGTACTGAGCCACAGCGTTGTCTGGCAGCCTTCATTCTGCAGACCGTCTTCCTTCCTGCCCCCTCCCCCCTGCATCTCCTCCTCTCATTCTTTTCCCTGCACCTTCCTCCCACTTAATAATGAAAGACACTTAATGATGCTGGTTTGGAGAGTGGAGGGCCCCGGCGGCACGGATCGTCCACCTCGCTCCTCTAGCTCCTTATGTCACAAACCCCTCACCGTTGCAGAACCTCCAGCCACCCTCTGACCACTACCGAACGGCATTCTGCGATTCGACAGGGCAGGTGTGAGCACAGTGACATCTCGGACGCGGAGCTAGTTCACTCCTGGGGAATGGCAGGGCAGATGGCCTGGCCCGCTCTGTTTCCCCTTCACTGCTGGCAACAGGCACCTAACTCCCCCAAGGACAGTGACTTCCATTGCCTGGCCGCAGTGCCTAGCTCCTTCGAAGTGGACGATCTGAGGAGTACGTAAGAACACAACTAACTGGTGTGAAGGGAGTGATCTGGGAGGGAAAAGCTCCTTTTGCAAACGTGTGGAAGAGTTTCAATGTTTCCTTTGGCCTCCAGAGAGGTTTGATGTCGCCCCAGGTCAAAGACGCCTTGATTCCAGCTGTCGCACATGGAGTGTCTGAAAGGCCCTCTCGCCTCTCTCTTGCCAGTGGCTGATGGCACCTGGAGTGCGTTCCCTACCCTCCTTTCAATGGATCTGAAATGCCTACAGTCACGACTTTAAATGTCTTCAATTGATTCTGAGAATTAACACAGTGAAGATCCAAATGTGAAAATAGAAATCTCCCTGTAAGCAGTTCAGTGAAGGGCTCCCTGGAGAGCAGGCTGCCTTATAACAGGGGGCGAGAGGGGACCAGAAAGTCAGCCCGGGAGGACTCTGCAAATGTGCACATGAGTAGCTCAGGCCGTGTGTGCAGAAATTGAGAAGCTGGGGGACAAAGGGGGCGATGATGAAAAGTGGCAATAGAGTGGACTGCCCCTCCTTCTTCCCCATTTCTATGCCAAATTGTAAAAAAATGTAAAAATAGCTAGGTGAGGCAAAGGCCAGAAGAGGAAGCAAGTAGGGCAGCATGAGGGAGGCCTGCCCAGTTGACAGCCTTTGAAGTCACTTTAATTCACAGAAGACAGCAGCAGCCCTGAGTGTGGAACTTCCCCCCAGCTGCTCCCACAGCACCTGCAGCCCTTCAGGGTGACTCCATCCTTGTGTTTGTTTGAGCTGTTCTTGCCAATATAAAAGTCCTTTTCTTGGGCGGCCATGACTCCTCCTTTGAAAGGATCTCTAGGGACATCAGTCGCCTCCAAGCCGAGCCTGAAGGCCCTTCCCCGGCTCATAGCCAAAGCCTCCCTACAGGCCTCTGATCACAGGCCTCTGATCAGAGGAGCCGCAGACAGGCTGGGCTGAGTCCGCTATTTCAATGCACTTTGCACAGAGGGAAAACAGGGTTTCAGGGAAATCATTGCATCCCAAAGAGCACCAGCTCCTTCCCTGCACTGTGCAGGTGTTTCCAAACAGCTTTTATAGTCAAGAGCGCAGAATGAAGGTGGGAAAGCCATTGCACAAGTCCTCCATCCTCCCTGTTCTTGTGCTGGTTGCTCCAGGACAGCAGCCTTGTGAAATGCACTGCGTCACCCCAGCCTTCCCGCGAGGGGACCGAGGGGACCGAGGGGCGGGTGAGCGGCAGTGAGGGGCGGCTGGTCCTGTGGTGTTACCTCTGCAATGACCACACAGGAAACTGGCCAACTCTGTGATTAAATGAGTGGCTCCGGGCTCTGAAACAAGGGGAAACTGGAGATCTCACCTCCTCAGCCTCAGGGTCCCCACTTCTTATCTTTGACTCACTAACATGGTGAGGGGCTTCCACAAAGCCTCCCAGGGTGTGGTTTGCCTCTCCTGGACCCCCGCCACCCTGATATCCTGAAGGTTGGTCCAGACAGACATGTGACCTTGCGGGTGGGGTCACCCCGGCAGAGGCCCCAGTGCCCATGCCCCACTGTTTGTGGGCAGTGTCAGGGTTTGTACTCACTTGGCAGTGTAGACCCGCTCAAAGGCCAGCGTGCCGGTCCTCTGGAAGCTCCGCCCAGGGTGGGTCCTGCTTTCGTGCTCCACCTTGTGGGCGAAGAACCCTGCGGGGTGGGAGAGATTGGCATTCCGGTTATAACCAGCACACTCCTGAGCCTGCCATCTCAAGTTAAATGTTAATTTTTTTTTTTTTTTACTTGACCTCTAAACAGCCCAAAATGTCCTTCATCAAATGTCATTTAGCAAGATTTATTCAGCAGTTACTCTCCCGTAATCGTTGTGTTTGGTGCTGGTGATGCAGTCGTGAGTGAGACACAGCCCCTTTCAAGGACCTTACAGTTGAATGGAAATAGACAAAGAGGTAAAGCAGAAATTAGTCTACAGTGATTCACGCTAAGAGACTGAGTGAGTCCGGCTGGTGTGGCTCAGTGGTTGAGCAGCGACCCATGCACCAAGAGGTCACCAGTTCGATTCCTGGCCAGGGCACATGCCCAGGTTGTGGGCCTGATCCCCAGTGGGAGGCATGTGGGAGGCGGCCAATCAATGTTCTCTCTCATGGATGTTTCTATCTCTCTTTCCCTCTCCCTTCCCCTCTCTCTCTAAAATCAATAAAGAAAAAAAAAGAGAGAGAGAGAGAGAGAGGCTGAATGAGAACACAGTGCTGTAGTGGGTGAGGGAGGCACCCTAATTCGGGGTTCAGGTTACAGAGGAATCCCTAGAGGGAGAGACACCTAGACAAAATCTAAAGAACAAGTAGAAATCAGCTAAGCAGATGGAGGGCAGGAGACAACAGGAAAGATCACTCTACCCAAGTGGAATGTAACAGGCAAAGATCCAGAGGCAAGAACTGTCCTTGGTTCAGCATGTCCGGCTTATGACGGGAAGCGGGAGTGAGGAGCGGAGCCTGGTCCAGTTACACGTGAGGCCAGAGAGATAGATGGTGAATCGTTCTTTCAATGACATGCATCTATTACCACTTGCCATGAGCCAGGCTCTAGCTAGCATCCCAGAACAAAACACACGCAGAGCCTTGGCCTGGGGAGCTTTTGTGCTGGTAAGGATGGAAGAGAAGGAGGGACCGCACATAACAAACAAAATGCATCCGTTCCAACCACACAGCCTGTGGAGCTGTGCGGAAGAGAAAGCAGAGCAGGGTCAGGGCCCTGGGAAGCGCCCCGCAGGGGGGCAGAGCGAGCCTCAGCGGGCACGCAGGGAGTGAGCAAGGCCCAGAGAGGTGGGTGGTCGAGAGGCACCCACGGGGCTGAACAGTGCGACGGAGACCTCGATGAGAGCCATGTTAATAAAACTGGAATTTATTTCTATCTCGAGAGCAGAGAGGAGTTCTTGACGAGGGTAAGCTGAGCCATGCCGCAATCAGAAAGCCACCCTGTCTTTAGTGTGAGGTCTGTAGAGAGGAGTGAGACCAAGGGGAGCCGGTGGAAGGAAGCTGAAGGGAGGATGGCTGTGGGCTGTGACAGGCCGGGGGAGACAGCCCGCGGACGGTTTGTCTACTGATTGGACATTGGGAGTGGGGAGTGAAGGTCTCTCTCTCTCTCTCTCTCTCTCTCTCTCTCTCTCTCTCTCTCTCCCCCCCCCCTTTCCCTCCATTTTATTCCTTTAGTCCTATTTCAAGAGAGAAAAGGGGGAGGGAACGTAAGATTGTCAGAGATCCATCCACCAGGTTCCCTTTCATCAACTTCTTACTAACCTCCTAAGAAAGACGTGGAAAAGATGCCTTACATTTGAATAAAAGCCTCCCGTGGTTTTCTGTTTGGCAAAAGAACATTTCTCCCCCGAGAATGGGCTCATTTCGAGCCCTTGTCTGGCCAGCGGCTGTGAAGGGGGGGGGGGGGGCTGCAGGCCCCCTGGTAAGCACGTGGCGCAGGTTCCCTCACTGGGCGCTGCTGTTCCCACCTTTAGATAAAGACGCTGTGGCTCGGGGAGGCTAATTAACCGTGTCAGAGCCACTCCCTGGGGTGCAGCCAGGCTGGGGATCAGATCCAGCGGGGCCTGAGGATGTGTTTTCCTCGCTGCTCGGATCCCCTCAGCCGCACGGGCTTGCGCACGTGTCTGCCCGCTCCGGGTGCCTCTTTTTACCGTGAAATCCAGCAGAAAATTCTAAGCATTGTCTTTCCAACACCCGAGCTGACGCCCTGGCCTCTGAGCATGTGAACTGGGCAATATTAAGAAAGTCAGAGGTTATTTCTGCAACCAGCAACGCAACCTGACTACTTCCCTGAGTCCACCCCTGTCGTCTCTGTGCTCAGAGAACAAACCCCTTCCTCTTTCCCAAGGCTCGCCCGCTGCCGGTGACCTTGACCCCGTTCCTGCCACTTCTTCGGGTCTTTGTTTCATTGGTGTTTTGCTTATTTTCTGAACCTTCAAGCTTTTTTTTTCTCCCCCTCCTTCTTTTTACCCTGGAAATATACTCAAATCTTTCCTACTCTTAAAACAAAAGCAAGCCTGTTTCTGTCAATATCCCTCTAGATCTATCTCTCCTTCCTTCTAAGCTAGACGCAAAGCGTTGGGCTGCCTTTGCCCACTCCCACCCCCACCCCTTGTTATCCTCAGTTATGTTGCAAAAACTGTGTGTGCAAAGACTGTTAACACACTTGTCTTGGCCAGCTGCTGACATCAGGTCAAACTAGAGACAGACAGAGAGAAAGACTCAGAGAGAGAAGGCTAACCGTTCCTGAAAATCAGCCACACACTGGGCACTGAGCTGCCTTACCTATGTTATTCCATACAGAACCTTCAGCTACCACACCTGGGAGTTATTACTATTTTTTTTAATAATTTTTCTGTATTGATTTTAGAGAGAGAAGAAGGGAGAGGGAGATAGACAGAAACATCCATGAGTGAAAACATCAATTGGCCGCCTCCTGCATGCCCCCCACTGGGGATCGGGCCCACAACCTGGGCATGTGCTCTGACCAGGAATCGAACTGGCGACCTCTTGGTGCCTGGGTCAACACTCAACCACTGAGCCACACCGGTCGGGTGCACCTGGGAGTTATTAATAAGTCTGCTTCTCAGTTGGGGAAACTGAGAGTAAGAGAAGTTAAATAACTTTTTCAGGATGGCATAAAAAGATCATGAGATTTTGGTTAACTCCAAAGTTAATATGAGCCAGCAGTGTCGTATGAGTCTTCGAAAGATTTCATATGCAGATTATTTTAATAGAATTGGTGCCCGGATCTCCAAATTGTTCTGCCCGCCCAGGAGATACCTAAATGCATTTTCGAAAGAACATGGCAAGATGGACAGAGGGGGCAATGACGAGGGACTCTGGAAACCAAGACCTGTGAGAAACGATCTGTTGAAGAGGGAATGTTACAGCTGATTTTGTAAACACAGAAGCAGCAGGCACAGTCTAAGCTTTCCCAGAGAACAGAAACAGACTGGTGGAGAGAAGTCATAGGGCAGATTTCACCTCGACACGAGAAAGAACTCCCTGCCCTGCTGAGGACTTAGCAGGTCCCAATGCGTCGAGGTCGCACGTTCAAACAGCAGCCAGGGCACACACAGGAATCGACCAATGAATGCAGGAGTGGAACGACAAACTGATGTCTCTCTCTCTTTCTCTCAAATCAATCAATCAATAAAAATTTAAGAAGAACTTCCTGGATTCTTGAATAAATGAAGTTGAAGTAATATACGTAGTGTAAGCGTTTACACATTGGAGGAAGTTTGAATCCCAGCTTCACCACTACTGACTCTAGGACCTCCAACCCATGATTTACCCTCTCTAAGCTCCACTTTGCTTATTTGTAAAATAGAAATAAAAATAGTATATATTTCATAGGGTACAAGGATTAAATGAGATAATATTATGCCCAGCACGAAAGATTGTGCTTGACTGGCAGTACACCTGGCAATGGGCAGGGCTCACTCAGGGGCGGTGACTGTCCACTTCAGGAGTCTTCCTGCACTGGGGAACTTCATGAGTCCCTGATCTTGTTTCCTGAGCCCGTCAGACCCCACGTTGGGTTGTGAGGCCTTCCAACATAGAGGCGCACGAGACTCGCCGTGTGAGTGTGTGTGCTGGGGGGAGCAGCAGGGAGGGCGGGGAAACATAGGCGGTCCCTACCAGCTCTGTTTCCCTCCTTATCACAATTCTCACAAACCCTATGACTACAGGGCCATCATGCCCCCCTTCTTGGCTTCAAAGAAAGAGGAAACTGGAGGAGGTCGCTGCTCTTGAAAGAGAGGATGATGCTAACCTTCCCTACCACCTTCCCTACCCCCGGAAGAGCGACAGGAACAGCTCTCCTGCCGGAGGACACCTTTCCTCTGCTGTCGCCAGGTAGGCTCACCCTCCTCGCCATCGAATTCGCTTGGCTCCCTGTGGAAACCACTTTCTCCAAACCTGAGTCCCACCTTTGCTCCATGTCGAAGCGGCTGGCACCTGGGCAAGAGAAACTGTAGGTTTTGTGGGTGCTTTCCAGAGGAAACGCCTTTATCTACCCTCCCGAGGAAACCAGGCTCCAGTAGTTCTGGCCCAGCTTTCTTAGGAGGCTACATTTCCTACTTGTTCTGCATTTTCACGTCTGCATTCTGCTGGATCGAGCTGGAGGAGGGCCACATGTTCAAAGATCTTGATGACTAAAGAACGCTGGAGGGGCAGAGGAGGAAGTTCCACCAGGGGGTCGGGCCCTGGCCTCTCTGGAAAATGAGCTCACACGGTGTAGAGGCGCAGAGGCCCAAACATCAGTGCAGACACACGTGGACTTGTCTTGGGACAAAGACAAAGTGTGCGTTGCCTGGCAAAAACATGTAAATATTTCTTAAAACAAACAGGAAGGGTTTGGAATGATGTTTTGTGGGTGAGGGGTGGGGCGGCACCGTTTTTGCATATTTTCCAAGCCCTGTAAGGTAGATCTGTGGCTGCCTCATTGAGGTTGATTAGACTTGCAAAGAGCAGCTCTGGACGTATATTTGGGCTTTCTCTTTGCCTAGAGACTCATGGAAGAAACAAGCAGAGGTGCTCTCTCCCAGGTCACTGGAACTATTCTTGTTCTCCAAATGGCACGTTACACTTGCAAACAAAAGTCCTCACACGGTGGGCTCTGCTCTGCATGGGAGCGCAGGTCCGTGCCCCATGGGGGTGCACGCTTGTCCTGAGCCACCGAGGGTGTGGCAAGGGCTCTTTCTGTGGCTTCAGTTTGTCCCTTCCCCAAACATTAAGTGGGGCAGCACTGTTCAAGGTTACTCTGCCCCTGTGTTGCTGGAGCCGTTCACAGGGGCCTGGGGACAGAGTCTGTGATGGGGGGCGGGGCATGTGTGGTCTGCTCAGCATGAAAGTCTCCAGCCCAACACAGTAGCTCCAGGCTTGTCCATGTTTGTATCCCCCTCCCAGGAAGCCTCCGTCCCTCTCATCAGCTGGTGGAAGGAACTCTGTGAGGCCACAGTGTTCTATCTTTATCTGTCTTAAATGGCCTTTAGATTGTGGTTAAGACTTAGACATTTGGCCATCTGTAATCCTTCCTCCCCCCTTGTTTCAAAGAACTTCTTAATCTCATCTGCCAAAAATAATTAAAATCTCACCATCTCTGCTCAGGGTTTGCGCTATGGCACCCACTGGACAGCCCAGTGGACAGCCCAGGGCCAGCTCTTGGTGCCCTTCCTTTTGGAGAGATGAAGAGACTGTTTTCACAACAGGAGACGCTGCAGCAAACCCCTCAGCTCCCCTCCTGCCCCACCTCCAGCTCTGAACTGGAGGGAACAGCTCAGCCCGTCTCTGCAGGCCGAGAGGGCACTGGCTCCCTGGCCAGGACACTCGTCAGCTCTGTTGGTGGATCTATGGAGAAGGGCTGGAGGAAGGTCCTGCACAGAGCTGAGCCTGCACTGCCTGCCACCCACACTCCCACCTCCCAGAGAGGTCCCCGCAGGCTTCCAGGGACCTTACCGCTCATTGCCCCCCCAGCCTTCCCTCCCTGGGGGGCAGGACCACTGTCTGCTCACTGCTGCCTCCCCGTGTAACCGTGTAGCATGGCACAGAGCAGGGTCCCGGGAGAGTGCGCAGGGACGAATAAAGCCCTTGCTCATTGAAAAGTTGAGGGAGCCCGGGCACGGTGCCCACATGAAACAGCAGTGGCTTGAGGAAGTGGCACCCTAAACACTGTGGTTGTTCCCTCCTGAGTGGCAACTCGGTTGCATGCAATTTCGTGTGAAACATTTGGGTCCGAAAGCTGCAAGGTGTGGTCTCACGTAGGAAACCTCCTCCGAGTGCGCAGTTGGGCCCAGGTGTGGGGCCATGGGGAAGCCTCCCTCTGTGCCCAGAAGGCTAACCACCAGCCTCTGTCCACATTCAAGTGGGGAGAAAATAACAGAATATCCCAAATTGGTGAAACACTCAAATCTCCAAAGTGTGACGGTGTGTGAACATGCATTACCAACAGGTCATAGAGCTGCCCTCAGTAATACTCTCCATTGTCCCCATCTGAATAAATGCAAAAGACAAAGCCTCCCGAGACACTTACACAAAGAGTCTGATGCCGTCCTAACTCAGAACCTTGAGGAGAGAGTCCTGCACGGTCCCACTTTCTCAAGTCTGAGCATCCTGCTTGTTTTTTTAAATTGATAGCAGGGTTAAGGGATGTGCTACCCCAAACAACCCCCCCCCTTTATGTAAGTATATAATGCATATGGAAAATGCATCAGTAATAATAAGGTAATTTCCCTTTCCTGAACCCCTACATTCACTTTTTGTTGTTTTTTTAGCCTCCACTTGACAGGTAACCTCAGTGCCCTGAAGCCAGCCCAGCGGCAGAGTCAAGCCCGGTGTCTGAGTGAACACAGGTCTCATCTTCCCTTTCTCGGCTGCTGGCCTTCTTCTCTGGCCCCAGTAGCTATTAACAGTCAAAAGGCTGATCGCAGGCCCTTCAGTGACGGTGTGGTAAAGCCTCCAGGTGGCTGTCCTGGCACTGCCAGCCTGACAGTCATCACCACTGAAGGGAGAGAAAGACCAGGACAAGCAAAACTCCCAGTCCATGCGAAATACACACGCCTCTATACATTCAAATAAAAAGAAACAAATAAAGCACAAGTATAGACAAACAGAGAGAGAGAGAGAGAGAGAGAGAGAGAGAGAGAGAGAGAGAGAGAGAGAAACTCAGAGAATATATAAGCCTGACTTTCAAATAACTAACAAATACATTCTCCCCTTGTTTCCCTCCCAAGTGCGAGGCATCCCTTACCGTTCTGGACCACGCTGATGAGGGTGACGATGGCCAGCAGGACAATGTTGCCCAGGGTTTCCTGGTCCATGTTTGCCTCCGGCTCAGCAGCAAGGACTGCTCCGTGGCCCCGGCTGCACTGTGGAGGAAGGGGAAGTGAGGGCCTGCTCTCTCTTTCATCATTAGAATTTCTGAAGGTCCCAGCACAATCACACAGTGCCGCCGCCTCCTCCTTCTTCTTTTTTGTTTTTGAGCCAGCCACCAAACTGGCCTGGCTCAGTGTGACCTGCAAGAGAAGCAGGTCTCAGGAGAGGAGCAGGTAGGGAAGAAAAATAAAACTTGTTTGTATTTATAGAACACCCAAAAGATCTGAGTCCTGAGGACTGCCTTTCTTCTCTTGAATTCCTAGGGGAAAAGGGAGACGTAATGCATGGCCAGGTCCACAGTACAGCCAGGTAATAAGGCCTGGATGGATGGATGGATGGATGGATGGATGGATGGATGGATGGGGAGGAGGAAGAACAGCTGAAAGCAACAAGAGAATTAAAACTCAACCAAAGAATTGAGATCAGGACAAACTAGGGCTGCAGATGACCCCGAAGGAAACTTCCAAACAGGAAGTGTATTAGACACTGCAACGGGCTCCCACAAGGTCACTGTGGAGACACCTTCCCCGGACACTTCTCAGAACAATGATGAGATTATAGAGAAGGTGTGAGAGAAGACCCGCTGCGGGGGGCAGGTGGTTGCCTGGCAGTTTACAGAACGGTTTTTCCTGGTAAATGGCAACCCCTCAGAAGTTACAGAGAAAGTGCAAGATTCCTGTCATCTTCGTCCCAGACTCAACAACTGTTCGGCAGTGACTTGAGCTAAACCTCACTTGGAAAGAGAACGTTGGCCAATGTACTTGGTGGCGGCAGGGAGCTGCCTCTGGTGTAGGAGAGGCTGGCACAGGGAAGTGGTCACACTCTTCACATGGATGGCAGCAGAGGCCAGCTTGAGAGTCCTCAGCTGGACTTGCGAGAAAAGGCTCACGGAGTCAGCGAGCGGAGCGACGATGCGTGGAGGCCGCTGCAGGGCGGTCCAGGCTGGTCATGACACTTTGGCATCCGGAGACTTAGCAAGACGTTTGTGTGCTCCTTCAAGAGGTCGCATTTGGAGGGAAGTTTGGTAAGTCTCAGGAATGCCTCGGTCCCGGTAGACAGGAGTTTGACCCCTACAAAGAGTTAGCCTGCAACAGTCAGCACAACTCAGTGACGGTGCCTTCACAGTGAAGGCTAGTCTCCTTAAAGGGCTCTGATTGCAATAAAAGAATCATAGCTCAAACTAACTTGGGCAGAAAGGAAAATTATTGGCTCTAAAATCCAAGGACCTGAACAACTTCAAGTGGAAAACAGCGGAGATGGGCTGGGCCTTCGGCCGGGGAACTCTCTCTCAGTCTCTCTTTCTCTCTCTCTCAGCTTTCTTTCGCTCATCGCCTTTTGTCTTGCCAAACACGTTTTCTTCACACAGTGGAAAATATGTCCACCTCCAACTCTGGAGTTTCACGTCTAACAGCTTCTGTCACCCGCAAAGGACTGACCTTGCTCATCTAATTCCTAGGACCACGGCACTGGCCCTGCTGGTCAGATAGCCGTTCTTAGCACAACCCGATGGACGGAAAATGAAAGAACCTGGTAATTTCCATATCGTTATAGGGCTAAGGGAGGTCATTCCCTAAAGGGAGATCGGAAGGTTTTTTGGGGGAAGGGGTACTGAGTACATCCACTATCACGCTGTGACTATCCACTACTTATAATTTCACATTAAAATGCCCAGTTTTTAAAGGTTTTCTGTCCTACAGTCTGATGTCTTCAAGGCTCACCCGAGTCTCCCTCCTGCCTGGTGTTTATGTGCATGGTGTGTGCGTGTGTGCCACGATCTGCAGATACACAGAAACTGCAGCAACAGAACCCGACTGGTCTGCCCAGTGACCTCAGGGACCGTGAAGGGGTAGCCTCCTGCTTGTGTCATACGCCCAGGAGCTCTACAAAGGGTGGGGGAGGGGTGCCCAGCCACTTCCACTTTAGCCCCTGGGCAGGGCACCTGGTAGGAAGGAGGTCAGTAGCTGCAGCCCCCACAGTGAGCCCGGAGTCCCCGCGGCGTGGGCAGCGGGCGGTGGCGCGAGCCTGCTTCGGGAGGAGTGCCTTCCCAGCCAGCCGTTCCAGCGTGCACATTAGGTTCTGGCGCTGACCTCGGAGCACTCGGAGTGGAGCCTCTGCAAGTGGAGTTTGTCTCAATGGACAGCTGCTGAGACACACACCAAGGCAAGGACCTGGGGAGCGGGGGCGGGAGCACCAGGCCCGCACCGGATCCTGGATCCCTAAGAAGAGGGCCCCTGGCTGGCTGCAGGCGGGACCAAACTGGACCGAGTGGGGCCTGGGGTTCTGAGCTGCGAGTCCTGGGCCTCGCTGTGTACTTGCTCTCAACCCAACCCTCTGGGTACGAATGATCCTCCCATTGCCCAAAAGGTGAAACGGAGCTTCGGACGGGTGAGCCCACCTGCCCGAGGACACATGCGAGGAGCAGAGCTGGGACTCAAACCCGGGCTGGTGTAGCTTCAACGTCTGGGTGCTGACCCCCGAACAGTCTCCAGAACGGATCCCTCAGAGGCTCGGGAATTAAGTAACGGTTCCTCAGCCCCCAAAGAGACATTTTTTTTTGTAAAGGAAAACATACACATTTCAGAGAAAATAACAGATCCCGGTCACCTGGCTGTCAGTAGAGGTAGTTTGACAAGAGCGACCCCAACCTTCCAGGCCTCACCGAGCCCTGCTCCTCCAGACCCGCCTCCCAGCCCTCGGGCTCCTGCCCGCGCTGTGCTCACCTAGTGTGACAGGCTGCGAGACAAATGTGCTGGACATGGGGAAATAATTAGCACATTCATTAATTAGAGTGCTCTTAGTAATTTCTCTGTGAAGGACAACCATTTGTCAACGGAGATCAGGACAGCGAGGGCCGAGCGGAGACTCGGTGGGGCAGCAATGCAGAGGCAGTGGCTGGAGGGAGCGCCCGCTGAAACAGGGAGCTGCTCGGGCACTTAGCAACGTGACTCCGTCACCATGGCAACAGGGAACACTTCAGCGGCCATCAGACAACAACATCCACAGGTCTTCCATCTCATCTCACGTGCGTGTCCCCACTTCATGACATCTCTTCCCTTCGCTCGCCATCCACTGCCTCGGTCTGCACTCACTGCGACAAGGGTTTCCCTGTGCAGAGCGCGGGGAGGGAGGGAGGGGACAGAATTCCCCCCCGGGCAGCGTTGTCAGTGCCAGACTGGACACAGAGGCAGAGCCCAGTCTACATGCACAGATCGTAGATGGCTGCAAAGCACTTCCTTTCATTTCGGTCAATCCAAGGACCATTCAGACCAATATTGAGCTGAAAGATAAGTGACAGGAAGGAATGCCAGGCCATGATCTGTTCTAGATGGCACACGGCGATAGTCTCCAAGAGAACCGAATCCGCCTGGTGAGTGTCACGTCTCCTTCCCTGGCCACAGCCAGCTGGCCTTTCTTCTATGTATGTATGTATGTATTTATTTTTGTTGTTGTTGTAATCCTCACCCAAGGACACTTTCTCCGTTGATTCTTAGAGAGAGTGCAAAGGGAGCGGGGAGGAGAGAGAATGTCGATGTGAGAGAGACACAGCAATTGGTTGCCTCCTGCATGTGCTCAGACAGGGGCTGGGAATCAAACCTGCAACCCAGGTACATGCCCTCGACCTGGAATTGAACCCATGACCCTTCCGTGTGCAGGCTGACGCTCTAAGCACTGAGCCACGCCGGCCAGGGCCAGATGGCCTTTCTTTACATGAACAGCCATGGTTCTGAATTGAATTGAACGAAATAGAAATGAGCCCTCATGTCATTATATAGGGGAGGAAACTGAGGGAGGGCGAATTTGCTGTAACCTCAAGCTGTGGATTAAATTCCACACATGCTCAGTACCCTAAGTTAGGTGCTTTAGAAATCTAAATGACATTTACAGATATGACCTTCATTCCCTAGAATCTCAAGTGAGAAGCTGATAATAAAACAATATGAGCAGAGATCCACAGTCACATGGACTGAGAAGCCACGGGAGCAGAAAGCCTCTTCCCTCTTCTGTCACAAACACACACAGCACAGTGCATTGTTGTGAGTTCACAGAAAATACAGCCAGTGACCCAGGAGTGCAGGGAACGCCATGCTGTGTGCTGAGTGCAACCGGCCAGACGCAGGTGCCTGCACCGGGTGTCAGCTTGTTCTGTCTTACAGTCTCTCTAAGGAGAGGACGTCGGCGATGGGCACGGCCTGACCTGGGAACATTTAGTTCTAATAAGACTAAAAATCATGGTGTTCCTATATGCTCAGTTTCTGAGAAAGTAATTGAATGAGAAAAGGAAACGTTTTTCAACAAAAAGTATTCGAACGCCTGGGTTCATATGCAGAGGGTGGAGGTGACCTTGACCTTACCCCAAGATAACACAAAAGGTAACTAGAAATGGGGCCTAAACATAAACATTAAAACTATAAAGCTTCCAGAAGAAAACATAGGAGGAAGACTTTGTGAGTATGAGGAAGGCAAAAATTTTTTAGATAAGACACAAAAAGTTTGTAAAAAACAAAAAACAAACAACAATAAATTTGACTTCATCAAAATTTAAAACTTCTGCACTTCAGAAGACACCATAAAGAAAATGTAAAGGCAGGGAGAAAATATCTGTAATACATAAATCTGACGAAGGACCTCTATCCAGAATATATAACGAACTTACTTCCAGTCAATGATAAGAAGATAACCCCATTTTTAAAATGGGTAAGTGATCTAAACAAACATTTCCAAAGAAGATATACAAATGGCCAATACGTGCATGAAAATATGCTCACCATCCTTAGTCAGCAGGGAAATGCAAACTCGACAGCAGAAAGATCCCACTGGACACCTCTGAGCACGGTCAGCAAGGACGAGCTGTAAGTGGAGCCCTGACCCGTTGCTGGTGACAGTGAAAAGATGACAAAATGTGAATTAAAATACTTGGAAAGAAGTTTGGCAGTTTCTCAAGCTAAATACACACTTTCTTAGCAGTTCCTCTCCCGGGCATTCCTTCCAAAAGAAATAAAAGCACA